TTCCTGCAACATAAATTAATTTCAAAGGTAGGTTGAGTTTGATCCATCAGGAAGGACTACGTTCACCCGGACGATCAAACTCAACCTACTTTTGAAATGACTCGTGGGTTCAAACCTTTCACAGTTATAAATTAATTTCTTCAATTGACCGAAGCGCAAAAAGTGTCCAATATCGTTGAGCTTAAATATTGTTGTTATTAGGCGCTGAACATTAATTTTCAAATGCTAAAAAAATAGAACGTATATATTTAAATGGTGACGAATGAAAACAGCAATAATTACACTTGCCTTTTGTCAAAAGTCTCACAATTTCTCGAGCCTTTAATGAGACTTTTAACAAAACTCAGGTGGAGGAGGCATGTGTTTGCACGAAATTTGGCAAGTATTAAAGATTCATTTTTCATTATTTCTGGTAAGTTTATCACCCTCAGCGTTATGCTATTTCATTGGCGGTGCCAGATTTTAGGGTCTCTAGCCTCAAGGTCACATGGGTGGCCGCCAATCTTTTCTAGTTGCTCATAACTTGGTGTTATCAGTGCTCGGAATACATGAAAGAAAGAAATTAAAGATCACAAAAGTTTACCTGAGTTTATCTTTTTATGACCGAAGAGTTGCTAGCCAAAAGGGCAATTTTTTATTTAAATTTCTCATACTGCTGTGCGGTGTGATCTCTCGTACACAACGGTTTGGAAAGAGCAGACATGGTCTGCGGTTTGAATATAGTGATTACTTATGGCTATTTCTGGGTTCTACGAAGTGATAGGTTTTTACATCCAGCGTCAATGCTACTTTCATCAATAATATCAGTAAAGTCAATGCCAAAACCTTCATGACGAGTAACGTAAATAGCGCAAAATACATATTCTTCTATTAAGAATACAAGAGAATGTTTGGCAAAGTGAGCTTCTGTGCAGAGGTGGTAATAAGAAGTTTGAGTTTGATTTTGCCATTAAAAGAATTCGTTGATATAGCAACGTTCCTATCACACGAGCCCCAAGCTCTATGGATATTTAACAATTATTCCTCGAGCCCGAATGGGCTCTAAGTCAATAGCTCATGAGGCCGAAGGCAGAATGGGCTGTTGACTCAGAGGCCATGAGGGCGAGAGGAATAATTGTTTTAGTAAAATCCAACTAGTTGGTCAAAAATATCCAGACAAAACAACTTTAGCTAGCAAAACGCGATTCAGCCGCCATTGTTTTGGTTTTCAAAGCTGGCTCTTTTCGCTACTAATGGGCTATAACATATAGCCTAGAAGTAGCTTAACCAATCAGAACGCAGCATTGATAATAGACCACTAGTTTGATTTAACAGAATTTAACAGGCTATAGCAGCATTCGAGCCACGATTTGGTCTTATAATATGGCGGAATAATAAGACGGAAGCGACTTTCGGAGTTTTTTGTCTCTGATTGTACTGTGAGTTACTCGTAACCAAATCTCAATGGGTACCACCGGAATATTTCTATCAAGAAACATCAAATTCAAGATCTTACCTTCGATTAATGCCAGCTTATCGGATTTCACTGGGTTTTTTGCGCTAAAAACCAACCAAAAAATCGCCATTTTTGAATGGATTTTCACTTGCGCAGACTTTCGCGGAAAGATTACAACCAAAGTTTGCAGAAGTCGCGAACGGTACCACCTGATATCGTGACATCTCCTGTCTGCCTTTAAAACCACCACAGTCTTTTAAACAAAGGATTGTGATAAAAACTGGGTTTTTTGTTTTCCTTTGAATTTGACCTGAACCCGTGAGGGGTAGCCTGTGCCTGTGTCGGCCGCCATTTTTTTAATTTTTCAAACTTGTTTCCAGTACTCTTTGACCGTTTTATTGTTTTTCCCTCATGTATGCTTCATTCAGAAGTGGCACGGCTAAAAACGGCAAAATACTAACCCCTACCCGGACGGGAAATTTTTTGTTGACCTCAATGCATGGACCCGGAATTCCACGCGACGAAGATATAACGATTTGATGGAAAGTAACGATTACTAATGACTTTCAGGAAATCCACTTTCTCTCAGCAGCCCTTTGACCAGCAAACTTAAGAGACCAACCTTTGACTAGTGATCAGCAATGTTGGCCTATTCCGCAGGTTTTCCTAGGAGGGTCAAGGAATCCTGAACCGGGGTGGTTTCAAAATATCCATGTCTCCTTGTTCAAAAACAGATGTGTAACACACGTAATCTTTTCAGGGACGAACTTTCCCGGCAATTAATAAGAGAGTTATTATAAAACTCTTTTCCATTAAAAAGAGAAAAATTATTTCCCAGTAAAAAAAAGGTCTATGGGAATTTCACTTTTTCAGAACATTTATGTCAGAGCAAAACAAATAAAAAGAGGCTGGATCTAAACAAATAAAGCGAAAATGGAAAAGAATATCAAGCAGAAATTATAAGAAGCCGGAGTGAAAAGGTTTCGCTGAAATTAGCGTGCAAAGCTGCATTGGTTTAATATGACATGTCTAAACCTCGCAACTCTGATANATCTATCTATCTATCTATCTATCTATCTATCTATCTATCTATCTATCTATCTATCTATCTATCTATCTATCTATCTATCTATCTATCTATCTATCTATCTATCTATCTATCTATCTATCTATCTATCTATCTATCTATCTATCTATCTAACCGTGTGGTACTGTTCTGCGTTGTCACGATTAGTAATATAATGTAATTTGTGCGTCACGGCCGCGGTTATGTACCAGGGACATCGCGTAGAATGCCCGGTCACATCCGGGAATTTAACAGGCTAGAGCAGCATTCGAGCCACGATTTGGTCTTCTCATATGGCGGAATAATAAGACTGAAACGACTTTCGGAGTTTTTTGTCTCTGATTGTACTGTGAGTTACTCGTAACCAAATCTCAATGGGTACCACTGGAATATTTATATCAAGAAAAATCAAATTCAAGATCTTACCTTCGATTAATGCCAGCTTATCGGATTTCACTGGGTTTTTCACGCTAAAAACCAACCAAAAAATCGCCATTTTTGTATGGATTTTCACGTGCGCAGACTTTCGCGGAAAGATTACAACCAAAGTTTGCAGAAATCGCGAACGGTACCACCTGATATCGTGACATCTCTTGTCTGCCTTTAAAACCAACACAGTCTTTTAAACCAAGGATTGTGATAAAAAATGGGTTTTTTGTTTTCCTGTGAATTTGACCTGAACCCGTGAGGGGTAGCCAGCGCGACGAAAATTTCCAGAAAACGTCTTTGAAAGCCAGAAAAAAATTATCCGTATTTCGGCCGCCATTTTTTTTATTTTTCAAACTTGTTTCCAGTACTCTTTGACCGTTTTATTGTTTTTCCCTCATGTATGCTTCATTCAGAAGTGGCACGGCTAAAAACGGCAAAATAATAACCCCTATCCGGACGGGAAATTTTTTGTTGACCTCAATGGACCCGGAATTCTACACCGACGAAGATATAACGATTTGATGGAAAGTGACGATTACTAATGACTTTCAGAAAATCCACTTTCTCTCAGCAGCCCTTTGACCAGCAAACTTAAGAGACCAAACTTTGACTAGTGATCAGCAATGTTGGCTTATTCCGCAGGTTTTCCTGGGAGGGTCAAGGAATCCTGAACCAGGGTGGTTTCAAAATATCCATGTCTCCTTGTTCAAAAACAGATGTGTAACACACGTAATCTTTTCAGGGACGAACTTTCCCGGCAATTAATAAGAGAGTTATTATAAAACTCTTTCCTATTAAAAAGAGAAAAATTATTTCCCAGTAAAAAAAAGGTCTATGGGAATTTCACTTTTTCAGAACATTTATGTCTGAGCAAAACAAATAAAAAGAGGCTGGATCTAAACAAATAAAGCGAAAATGGAAAAGAATATCAAGCAGAAATTATAAGAAGCCGGAGTGAAAAGGTTTCGCTGAAATTAGCGTGTAAAGCTGCATTGGTTTAATATGACATGTCTAAACCTCGCAACTCTGATAGATTGGGAGCTGACAACAACAGAAATAAGACAATTACATTTTAAAAAGACAGGCATTTTATTACAGCAACGGTGATTGAAACCAGACGAAAGGAGTAATAATTATTGAGTTAAAAGTTATCGGCTCTGATTCTGTAATAGCGTTGTATTACTAGGCCTTAAATGAACGGGATGCGTTGGTGGACGAAAGGTGCGACCAGAATTCCTTCTGTTACCGCCATGGTCGCCTACATCACTTTTAGTTGCCGCCATTATGTATTTCTCAAATAAATCTTGAATTTTTAAGTCTTAGACTTCAGCTTGCACGTGTGCAGTTCACGATATTTATCCTTTAAACCACCTTGTGACTTAGTACAGGTACAAATATTGCAATTTCAAGTCTGCTAATACTCATTTTCCAGTCTTTCCTGATGCGAACTAGACCGAGCTAGCGCGTAGCTAGAAAACCCGCAGGATGAGATTATTGTGGTAAGTAGGAAGCATAACACACGAAAAACTCGGTTTGATGCTTTATCCTGGCGTAAGAGGGAAGCCATGTATCTGTACAATGTTCACATTAAACAACCCCGCTGTATACCCACTACCTTAGACATGCACAAAACCCACAAAGTACCAGTCAGTTTTATCTAGACCTACAGTATGTTTTCAAATGGGAAGAGGGGGGCAATGGTGGACTAATGAAAACAAAACTGCTCTATCGTATGTTCATTCTAAACGACTCTGGGACTCAGCACCACTGTCCAAATCACTTCTAGAAAAATTTAAAAAAAAAACGTAATGGTCCTATTTAAGACAGCCAACCAAGACCTTTAGGATGGTACTCACTGAGACAGCCCCCCAACAAAATACAACAACTATTTTGAATTTACTGTGCAAAATAAGGTGTTTCCGTATCTATTATTAATCCTGATAATATTACTCGATCAACTTATGTATTATATCCATTATGATCTTCTTTCTTTTGATCGTTACCTGGTTCTTGCACCAGACCTTCCTTAGTTGTAAGAACCGCCTTATTGGCTAAGATTACTAATTGTACCTAGTGTTTTCTTCGTAAGCGATGATACGTTTGGGAAAAATTGAAATAAAATGCTTTCACCGATTTTGTGATATCCCTCTTCTTTTCTCCGCAAGAGCATGGATCTGAAATCAGCCATCACTCAGTCACTGAGTCGGTCCATTAAAAAAACACTTTATCGGTATGCCTTATTCATGAAGCAATTTTCACTTAAGCTAACTTCCCGATAAGTAAATCAGTGGCCAATAGACAACGGAAGGGAGAAAGGAACAAAGGAAGGAACTAAAGAACGAACGAACGAATGAGTGAATGAGTGAATGAATGATTGGACGAAAGACTGAACGGAAAAATGAGAAAACGAGAAGATAAAACGTCTCATCAAAGCCAGTCACTTTTCCCTTAAATCAATAAATTAATCAGCATCAAAGCCTCAATGAGTTGACAAACATTTCTAGACTTTGGTCGATTGTATAGCTAGCCTTCAATTTGGCCTTCCAGGAGAGCGCCTTTAAATTATTTGTTATTCCACTTTCCCTCCACCTCTTCTCAAATGAGGAGTTATGCTCTCGCTGTTGATGCCATACTTATTTCTTTGCTTTCATTACCTTTTGCTCGTTTTCTTTTCATTACTAGTTTACAATGAACATAATCGCATGGGCGAATCCTTGTTCACATTTTATCCTCACTGACATATGCTTATCATTAGCTGATGAAGCTAATAGGATAAAATCTCTGAATATCGAAAGAGCATAGCTATTTCAGCTATCTCTGAAAATTTTAGCCCTATATATCGAATAGTTTCGTACAAATTCCCTTAAAAAAACTCGAAAGTTTACAAAGAATGTATGAGCTCATTAACGGTTTTACCAGCCAGCCATTTCGCAGTTTTTGATTGCTGCTATTTTCTTTGTTGTTGATCACAAGAAGCTGAAAATTGCAAAAACTGCTGAAATTAACCAGCTCTTCCAACTTTTGTACCTAATTAGTATATAAGGTGACGTCTTCTATGGGTTAACTCGTATGCTAATGAGTAAAAATAAAAACAATGACGTCAGCAAGGATCGATTCGCCTAAAGCAAGGCTTTGGTCATCTTTAAGGCCATGATTCTTAATTTGCAATCTATTAGCTGACTTAGCATATCAACTGAGTTGTCAAGACCATAGACCGCAGAAAATAAAATGCACCCACATACCTTCTTCATCCATTTCACGTAGGCGTCGTTTATAACATAAATTCTGGTAAAAAAGTCCACATATCGTCGCTATTATCAAGAGTCCAGCGCTGATGATCATTGTTATCAGATAATACGGACTACTGGGCTCAAAGAACACAAACGATGTCTTCTCAGTCTGCAATAGGAGTGTTAAAAACAAATAAAATTATTAACCGCTGAAATCGTACACATGACTTCTACTTATGCAGTCTTGACTTCCCACAGCAATAGAGACATTTCAATAGCAATCAGTAAACTCCAAACGTTCCTAGCGGAAGCGAAACTATGAGGCGACTATTTTAACTTTCAATTAATATCCCCTAATGTCCACTGTAAATGATGTTTTATCATTTCAAGGAAGGATTTGGGGTGGGCCGAAGGGGGCGCCGTTACCCCTGTATTATTAGGGAACATACGATCCGACAACGGCGAAGTCCATGGAAACGTCGCTGAAAAATTGACTTGGCATCCTTTCACTTTTTTTCGCGATTATCCCTAGGGGCCCAGTTACTTAAAAGAAGGGATTTGAAGTTGGAGCTGAAGAGAAGGGACCACGTCGGAGTTCAAACAGACATGGTAGAATATATCACCTTGTCGTTCCCGTTCCCAAGTAACTTAAAATTTGGTGATTTTACCTCATAGTTGCACAGAGACGGCAAAGAAATGTACAAAAAAGCATGATGCCCGTGCAGAGTTGCTGTTTTACTCATTAAACTTTTTGCTTTTGTGACGTTCCCGTTTCCATCGCCGTCGTAGTTTCGTAAGGTTCCTATTCCTACAGAATTCTCAGAAATATAAAAAGTATTTATACATCAGGCAAGTGGGCAAGGCCACCCCTTACTGAATTTTCCGGATCCGTCCCGAATTTTATCTCTGAATACATGATCTAGAGACTAGCTCGGCTTAAAACGCGATTTGATGGCGCATGGCATATGTGTGCTAAATTGTTATTTCTCAGCGCTTTCTCCTATATTTACAACTTAACTGAAAACGACATGAAATCTAAGATTGGCTCTTCCACCCTTTTTTTTGAAAGGTATGAATGCGTCGGAAAGCCACCGAACACGGCGCCTAGTTTGTTTGTTTGTTTGTTTCTTTTTTTTTCTCTCCTTTTTTTCCCCTCTTTAAATTGTTGATCATCCTTCCCTACTGCTTTACATTAATCATTCAGATAACACTGTTACATGATGACGTCATTCTACTACAATTACCAAAATCTTTCAAACTGCTCTTTTCTTGTGTTAGTTAGGGCTAATGTTATTCAAACCTCAATAGGATTAACAATTAACAAATTTAAGAGAGAAAGTCCTGAGGTGGGGAGCAAACACCCTGGGCTGAAGACCGAGCCTGCATTTCGCCTACATTTCAATGTTGTTATTCTCTCGAGTGTCCTTTTTATCAGTAATTACTTCAATTTTTAGTTTCTAATAATAATAATAATAATAATAATAATAATAATAATAATGATAATATTATTATTATTACTATTTATACCTTAGACGTTCCCATAATTAAATGGACAGCTGTATGAACGATGGTTTTTAATTATGAAAAGTTTTATTTTATAATTACGACGTCCATAAAGCTTGTAGGATTTAGTTATTTTTTATTTATTTCCTATGACACTTTCATCAAATCATTTTTACCCAATTTTTTTTTTTTTTTTTTTGCGCAAATTATCGTGTAATTGTTACAACAAATTTTAGTCGATGCTGCGGCTGGTTACGGTTTGCCGCCCAGCCAAAGCTTTTATTTTTTTGCTCTGGGCATCCAGACGTTTGTCCTGCCATAATAATTATAGATTGATTTGCTATGGCGCCTTTTAGCATACAAAATGATCAAAAGCACTTTACATTGTCTTCATACTAGTCAAAATTTATAAAATGAATGTACGATAGATAAAACCGATAAAAAGGTACAACTACGTAAAAGCTTATTGAAAAAGATATGCCTTGACATGTCTCGTAAAAGCGCCGAACGATTAGTGAGGAAGAAGAAAATCTCACCTCAGACGTCTCCGATGCTCCTGCTTCTATCAAAAACTTGGTTTGTATGTCGTCCTTTATAAGCAAGTTCTTCATAGTCTGAGCTAATCTAACACCGTCCCCCTGAAGAAGAACGCCGTGTTGTATTTCTCCTTCAAGAATATCGACCACATCAAACCATGTCCCGTTAAATAAGTCTTTTCTCGTTACTGGGACGTACATATCGAGTAATACGTAGCTTACATCGCTACTCTTCAACGCTTGGGTCATAGATGTTAAATCTGAGAACGTGGGTCCTGCAGGACGTAGAAGGCATGCATTGAATGTAGGTGGTAAGTGTTACAGTATACTAGTTTATAGCCTGCGAAAAAAGCCCTCTCTCCTCACCCCTCGCCGCTTTGGACGTGTCTCCAGGTAGAAAGTCTGCGCCCCAGCGATAGAAATTCCATACTGCATGATGACGTAAAATCTGTCCCGAATCTGGGCAGGGACTTTAATTGGTCGGCGTAGTAGTGGTTTAGTTTTAGCTTTTGTTTATGATTGACAGACAAGAGGCAAAAGGCAACAAAAAGGTCAAATGTAAACGCGTTGGATCTATTACAAAACAGATAATATTCATGGAATATATTCTTCTTTAGACGAAGCATTTGGGTTTTTCTGGACCTCGTTCGAAGAAGTAAACAAAAATTTTACCAAAATCGACCAGGAGCAACATAAAATCGAAAAGAATCACATTTGCCACCCCTTGACCACCGGATTAATTATGAGGCGAAAAGTTCCAAGTGGCGAGAAGCGAGAAGAGACGGCTGTTCTTGCAGGCTAAGTAGTTTAGGATACAGTCCTCCTTCTCTAAATTAATTTGTTCACTCCCTTTTAGCTATAGTGTGAGGTGGAAAAAGGAATAAAGTTAATCGGTCAGAGGGTTTAAGTGATGATATCTGAGAGACAAGAAACCGGAAATCTTAAGATCTAGATCTCGAAAGGCAAAAAGACATGTTGAGTAATTTTCACTTACCGAGTTTTATTTTGTTTCTTAATCTTTTAATTGCAATCTTATGCTCAGTAGAATTGGCAACCACTGCAACCTAAACAAACATAATTATGGCTTGGTTGTGAATTTTGTCACCTTGTAAGCTTGCTGCTACGGTTCAAAATGAGATTCAGGTTAAAACTGTTTGACCTAAGTTGATTCTCTGTTTTCTTCGTCTGTATGTTGGCCTAATTATTCATGAATGAATTGAACTATTCCGCTGTGCTAATAAATCCCAGAAAAAAGATCCAAGATCTCCGAAGTGTATTTCCGAAACACCTTCGATGCGGCCTTAATTTCTTGGGCAAGTTCTGATTATTTTAACTTGACGTTACAATGGCTCAACTGCCCACCGTTACAAGCTGCTTTTCCGATTCTTCACGCACTGGCAATAAGAGATTGCGTTGAGAGTGAAAGTAACGTCATCTATTCTCACCAAATACTGTGAATATTGCTTGTTTGGTATGCAAACGGAATTGGAAGTGGCCAAAATCTACACTGCGAGCAGCGTCTCCTTTTCGAGGAAGATCGAAAGAGACTGCACGCAGAATTATTTTAACTTGATGTTTTGGCTCAACTGCCCACCGTTACAAGCTGCTTTTCCGATTCTTCACGCACTGGCAATAAGAGATTGCGTTGAGAGTGAAAGTAAGGTCATCTATTCTCACCAAATACTGTGAATATTGCTTGTTTGGTATGCAAACGGAATTGGAAGTGGCCAAAATCTACACTGCGAGCAGCGTCCCCTTTTCCAGGAAGATCGAAGGAGACTGCACGCAGAGTAGCCGGGATCCCGTTGACCACGTTAAAAAGTTAGCTGCATTCACACATTTCAATTTGGCCAGGAAAGAAAACTGATGTCACATTGCTACTCGAGTGGAACAGATGGAAAATGTATGGACCAAAGTACTTCATACCAAGCTTTTGAAAATTCTTCTTCTTTTTTTACCTTGTACATGTATGTTGTGTTAGAGAAGCAAACTTAATCACTCAAGACAAAGAGAGACACGCCCAATCTTGCCCTTGGGAATTTCACCAAAGTTATTTTTAGACTAATGTCAAGGAAGGATTGACCACTACAGAAAATAACATAACATACCATAATGCTCTTTGTTTTTTACCTCAAAATTTTGTATGAGCATTGTTTTCAGTTTCTCTTGGGGCCACTTCAACTCCGAAGAGAAACTGAAGACAATGCTTATGTAAAATCTTGGGGTGACAAACAAAGAGCATTATGGTATGTTATGATAGTTTCTGTAGTGGTCAATTGAACAGTCGCTATTGCAATACTCTGCATTGTTTGCTTTGCGGCACTCACGCGTGAACTTGATGACGTTTCAAACAAGCGATAACAATTTGTGGTCGTCTCAGGAACATTAAGTAGAAAATTTTTAATTACAATCTCTAGAAGTAACGTTAGTGAAATTCAGATATGCCGGCCAACGCCTTAAAATTACCTCCCATCATTCTCTCTTCTTCAAGTAGAAGAATATAATACTAATTTTCTCTTTCTTTCGTGGTGTATCAAAGTGTCGTAAAGAAACGCACATAAAATAATAAATTAATCAATGAGCACACTGAAAAATACCTTTATTGGCTGGCCATCCTTCGCCATATTATAAGTGCCTCCATTCGAGTTCATCTTCACCACCGTCACAGTCAGAAATGCTGTCAACGATCCCATGAAAATAGTAAACACTGTAAGTCCAACTAGAAACCAGGCGATGGCAAATATCCTGGCAGCGATGGACTGAGGGCAGCGGTCACCATATCTGTAGAAGTGGGGTTTGTAGTATTATGAGAGTTAATTGACTTTTTTATTTACTCCATTAAGTCGCTTTTCTATAACTTCGATTGACCTTCCTAGGAGCAACTACTGTATTTCGAAAACGACTTGATCAATAAAAGACACCTTACTCACCCTAGCGTCGTCATAGAGATGAAAGCCCACCAAAAACCTTCGCCTGCACCTTTAAAGTAATTGCGAGGAAAGTGTTCCGGATTGGCTTCAGAGTCCTACAGAGCGATCCAGAAAAAGTAAGAGAGACATGCTTGCGCGAAGATTTGTTGGTGCAATGTAAGCTTAAGACATTTATAGAAAAACCACAGAAAACTGTTAATACTCAAAGGGCTGTGTGAACGCTTCATCAGTGATGAATGCCTGATATTAAACAATTATTGCATATGGTTGCGCTGATTAACAGAAGGCTCTCAACCAATAAGAAGACAGATATTGAGTAAAATGTATAGTAAACAACAAATAAATGGAGGTACTTTTTTCAAAAGGAAAACCGAAGGAAAAACGAGATCCCCAACAGGTGTCAAACCTATGGGGATCTTTTTACTAGGCCTGTCTCGCTAAAAAGGTTCCAAAACCCTTTTGTGTTTGCCTTCCTATTTACACCTTCTTTTACTCTTTTCGAAGGTTATTTTTATGTTTCATTCAATTTGCAAAAGTTCTAACTTTTTGAATTTTGATAAACTTCGCAAAAATGCTCATTTAACTAAAAGTAAATATTGAAGGAGCTGTGTCACGAAATTTACAAAAATTCAAACAGCGAGAACTGCCACTAAGATGAGTGAAACAGGAAATAACCTCTTAAAACGTTAAAATAACACAGCAAATACCTCAAATGGAGGCACGGATGGGCAAACTTGAAGATGATTGACTGAAATGAATCTCAACTATACATGTAGTTTTCGAAAAATTGTTAGCTTAACAGTTTTTCAAAGTACATCTTCGTTGTGATGTTTGAAATAATGCTTGGGAGTGACAATTGTTCGACACGAAGCTGCAATTTCGTCATTTACAAGAACTTCGTAAGTCCTATAGCGACTAAGCATGTATATTGACGTTATTAAAAACTGAATCATTGGATAATGCAATTCTGGAGCTCTCATTGGCTTAGCCATAAAGGTATATGAGCCATTATACCACGCTCTCCAAACATGGTAACTGTACGCCTCTGCCCAAAGTAAAAAAAAAGCCGCAAATCAGTTGTTTTTACAAATAAAGTCGGGAAGAATTCTCGATATTTTGTGGGCGTTTTTGATAAAACAATTATTCCACTTACACTCGTTGGATATGAGATGATTATAGCCAACTCGGCGCTACACGCCTCGTTGGCTATCTACCATCTCATATTCAACGCACACTCGTGGAATGATTGTTAATTATAAACAAAATGAACCAGGCAGCAGTGACACAGCCCTTTTAAGACGTAACTCACCAAAATCCACATAACAATACCCGCCAAAAGAGTCATAACGAGGGTAATCACGATCACAGGCCAGGCGTCAAACACAGAGTTGGCTGTAACTTTGGTGAGGAATTGGCTGTTATAGATGCTTTTGCGTCTTACCACAATCATACCAGGCACCGATACTACTGTTATAAATTTGCTATATGCAGTGTCTCCGTATGGCTG